AGATCGCTCCAGCTCCCAGCAGGACGGAGGAGCGCAGCCCTGGGGTCACCGCCCACTGCTCTGCTGCGGCCGTGTCTGCCTCTGGGCAGAGGAGCTTGGGAGGAAGTGGAACATGGGCCCTGAAGCCTCTCTCGGGCGCACAGTGCTAGCCCCTCCGCCTGGCGTGACTGGTCCAGGCTGTGGGGGAGAAAGGAGTGCCCAGCTTCTGCGTCCCTAGGGAGCAGCCGCCAGGGTCAGCCGTGCCTGGGGCCGAGGGCGGGAAGATGGGTGTGTCCTTGCTGCCACCCACTCTGCTCTGTGTTCAGGTGGGCTGGTCCTCAGGCCCCACGCAGGGATGAGAGTGATGGACTTTCCCCGGGTGGACTTCAGGAGTCATGGACAGGGCCCCGCCCGGGGTGGAGGCTGCCCCTGCAGCTGTACTGGGAACGCTGTGAGGATGGTTGTTGGAAGGGATGCCCAGAGCTTGTACTGGGAACGCTGTGAGGATGGTTGTTGGGAGGGATGCCCCGAGCTTGTACTGGGAACGCTGTGAGGATGGTTGTTGGGAGGGATGTCCCGAGCTTGTACTGGGAACACTGTGAGGATGGTTGTTGGGAGGGATGCCCCGAGCTTGTACTGGGAACACTGTGAGGATGGTTGTGGGGAGGGATGCCCAGAGCTTGTAATGGGAACACTGTGAGGATGGTTGTGGGGAGGGAAGCCCCGAGCTTGTACTGGGAATACTGTGAGGATGGTTGTGGGGAGGGATGCCCAGAGCTTGTACTGGGAACACTGTGAGGATGGTTGTTGGGAGGGATGCCCTGAGCTTGTACTGGGAACGCTGTGAGGATGGTTGTTGGGAGGGATGCCCTGAGCTTGTACTGGGAACACTGTGAGGATGGTTGTGGTGAGGGATGCCCAGAGCTTGTAATGGGAACACTGTGAGGATGGTTGTTGGGAGGGATGCCCTGAGCTTGTACTGGGAACACTGTGAGGATGGTTGTTGGGAGGGATGCCCCGAGCTTGTACTGGGAACACTGTGAGGATGGTTGTTGGGAGGGATGCCCAGAGCTTGTACTGGGAACACTGTGAGGATGGTTGTTGGGAGGGATGCCCTGAGCTTGTACTGGGAACCTGTTAGGATGGTTGTTGGGAGGGATGCCCCGAGCTTGTACTGGGAACACTGTGAGGATGGTTGTGGGGAGGGATGCCCAGAGCTTGTAATGGGAACACTGTGAGGATGGTTGTGGGGAGGGAAGCCCCGAGCTTGTACTGGGAACACTGTGAGGATGGTTGTTGGGAGGGATGCCCTGAGCTTGTACTGGGAACGCTGTGAGGATGGTTGTTGGGAGGGATGCCCTGAGTTTGTACTGGGAACACTGTGAGGATGGTTGTGGTGAGGGATGCCCAGAGCTTGTAATGGGAACACTGTGAGGATGGTTGTTGGGAGGGATGCCCCGAGCTTGTACTGGGAACACTGTGAGGATGGTTGTTGGGAGGGATGCCCCGAGCTTGTACTGGGAACACTGTGAGGATGGTTGTTGGGAGGGATGCCCAGAGCTTGTACTGGGAACACTGTGAGGATGGTTGTTGGGAGGGATGCCCTGAGCTTGTACTGGGAACCTGTTAGGATGGTTGTTGGGAGGGATGCCCCGAGCTTGTACTGGGAACGCTGTGAGGATGGTTGTTGGGAGGGATGCCCCGAGCTTGTACTGGGAACACTGTGAGGATGGTTGTGGGGAGGGATGCCCAGAGCTTGTAATGGGAACACTGTGAGGATGGTTGTGGGGAGGGAAGCCCCGAGCTTGTACTGGGAATACTGTGAGGATGGTTGTGGGGAGGGATGCCCAGAGCTTGTACTGGGAACACTGTGAGGATGGTTGTTGGGAGGGATGTCCCGAGCTTGTACTGGGAACACTGTGAGGATGGTTGTGGGGAGGGATGCCCAGAGCTTGTAATGGGAACACTGTGAGGATGGTTGTGGGGAGGGAAGCCCCGAGCTTGTACTGGGAATACTGTGAGGATGGTTGTGGGGAGGGATGCCCAGAGCTTGTACTGGGAACACTGTGAGGATGGTTGTTGGGAGGGATGCCCTGAGCTTGTACTGGGAACGCTGTGAGGATGGTTGTTGGGAGGGATGCCCTGAGCTTGTACTGGGAACACTGTGAGGATGGTTGTTGGGAGGGATGCCCTGAGCTTGTACTGGGAACACTGTGAGGATGGTTGTGGGGAGGGATGCCCAGAGCTTGTAATGGGAACACTGTGAGGATGGTTGTTGGGAGGGATGCCCAGAGCTTGTACTGGGAACACTGTGAGGATGGTTGTTGGGAGGGATGCCCAGAGCCCACCACAGCCAGGAATTTCTTCAGCACTATTGGATAATCCCTTCGAAACTAGGCCTCTGAAGAAAAGGAGAAATAAACATTACACCATGGATATGTTAACGTTATATTCTGCCAGGCGGCCATTGGCACATTGACGCGATGACATCTTTGTACACCTTCAGACTCACGGTACACCCGGTGGTCTGAGTGAGCACACTTGCTCCCTCGGTGAGAATCGTGCGGTCGAGACTGAGTCGGAATGGGCGGTTCTCTCTGGTTCCGGGTTGAAAGGCTCAGACTTGCTTAGCCTGGTTTCTCACTATGATTCAGTTCTCTTGAGCAAGGAGCTAGAAACCTGTTAGAGGTTCGTGTTTCCTTTGTGTTTTTGGACAGAAGTGAAAATCTGTTAAATTCAAGGTGAGCTTACCCAGTGGGCCAGGTGTGGTCTGTGGTGGGGCAGAACTGGGGGGAGACCTTGAGCTCGCGCCCCAAAGCGATGGTGAGGCCCTAAAGCGTGTGGGGGAGCAGGACCCTCCAGGCGCGGAGCGGAGGGGCGTGGGCCGGGCGGAGCTGGTTGCTCTCTAAACGGTGTTCCGCGAAGCTGCTTCTCCCTGGAGGCAGCATTCGGAACTGTGCAGAACTGTCCCCCACTGTCCTTCCCTGGCGACTTCAGATGGCCAGTTTGGCTCAGCAGTTAGAGCATCCGCCCAAGGACTGAAGGGTTGCGGGTTCGATTCCGGTCAAGGGGACGTACCTCAGTTTCCGTTCAGTCTCCGGCCCTGGTTGGGGTCGTGCAGGAGGCAACCAATCGACGTCTCTCTCACATCGATGTTTCTCTCCCTCCCCCTCCCTCTCTATCTGAAGATAAATGGAAAAATATCCTTGGGTGAGGGTTAAGAAGAAAAGAAAAGAAATCACTAGTGATGAAAACAAGTAAGACTGAAATTCATACACTGCCAGCCGCCAGCCCTGCCCACGAATGTGGGAAGAGCCTCACTTGCTGAACCACTTAGGAAGGGAGCCTGGGCCACTCCCTGGACCATCTGTTAGAAAGCACGTAGCTGTCACGCCCGGCAGGTGACAGGGACACTCGGTTGCGATGCAGGTGCAGGCTAGTGTGCATGTTCACGCTCACATTCCGGGGTCCACACCATAGCCTTCCCCTCATTCACGGCGTCACTGTCCAGGGTTCCAGGCGCCTGCAGTCAGCCATGGTCCGAGAATATTAAATTTCCCCGGCCATCGGCTTCGTCTGCTCCTGACATCCAACTATTGACATCGTCTTTGCTGTGTGACCCAGGGCCACCGGGAGCACATGCCCCTCCTTCTGACATGTCTCCCGACGTATCTTCTGACGTATCTTCGAAGGTCAGTCGCAGCCTAACACTATGTCGATCTCATCCCACATGTAGGGGTGTTATCATACAGTGAGATATGTTGACAGAGAGAGACCACATTTACACAGCTTTTATTATAGTCTCTTGCTATAATTGTTCTATTTCATTAGTAGTTGTTAATCACTTACTTTGCTTAATTCATAAATCAAACTTTACTACAGGTAGGAGTGTATAGAAAAGCCGTGTATGTAGGGCTTGGTGTCATCTTCGGTTTCAGGCGTCCCCCGGGACGTGCTCCTCGCGGGCGGTGGGCGCTCCTGTGCTCAGAGCTACGCTTTGCCCAGAGTGCTGTTAAGACATGTCCCAGTGCCCAGCATTGTGAAATGTGTTTAGAGTTAAGAATGTTCAGTTAAAATGTTCTGTACTGTTACTATTTCTCAATTGGGATGGATAAGCCGTGGCCAAGAGTAAGATAACATGGGGGTGGGGTGCACTCCAGTGCCACGGACAAGGGTGTGTGTGTGTGTGTGTGAAATCATTTGTTGTCCTTGGCAAGGAGGCAAAGGGAAAGCTAGCAAACAGGCTGTGATTGAGAAAGAGTTCTGCTGTGGGGACTGGGTGTGGCGGCTGGACACCGTGCGCTGTCTTCAGGCCACTGTGGCTTGGACATGGGAGTCGAGGGGCTCACCTGGGGGCCTGCGTGGCTTTGACACACTGCTGGGTCCTCACGGGACTTGGAGGGGTGGCCGTGGGTGGCTTGATTTAGCTGTCATGGTCTGGCCCAGGTCTGGGTGCTGCTGGCTTAGAGTGCAATGCCTCCCCTCCCTCTCGTGTTTATCTGACGTCCGTGCCAGCAGCTCTCCAGCCTTTTCCTGGGGTCTCAGCACATCGACATTCTGGTTGCAACGGGGAGTGGTCTCTAAGGGGCCTTGTATGCCACCTGCCTGCCCCACCACCCTTGGCTCCTGCCCTCGGGGCCAGGCCCCGGGAGAGGAGGTGGTGAGGTGCAGAGGTGGGTCGAGGTGGATCCTGGATCGAGCAGAAGCATGCAAGGGCCTGAGAACAGGAGTGTGCGTGGGAGGAACGTCAGCTCCGGGCCAGATGGCCCACATGGCGGCCAGCGACTCGGAGCCTCGGCGGGGGCACACAGACCCTCTTCCCAGTGCCCAGCTCCCCAGCCCGCCTGCTTCCCTGCCTCCTGTTGGCTCCATTGCTGGCTGCTGACCAAGAGCGGGGTCTGGCGGGAAGGCCCTGCGTTTGGGAGTAGAGGTCAGAGCTCAGTTGTCTGCTGGGCCTGTGCTCACTTGTTCACAGGGCCTTTGTCTTCCTGGGTGATCATATGTGCCAAACCCATCTCTCAATGGCAGTGATTGTGAAACGAGATAACAGGTATGAAAGTACTCTGGGAAACCAGAAGTAACTGCCACCACCTTTCATGTATACAATGTTACCTGGTTTCTTGAAGCCTTTCTGTTAGGGCTCACCCTGCAGCAGCAGATGGAGGGGAGACACGAAGCTGGGCCTCGGGAGAAGGGGGTGCGTGTTGGGGAGTCTCTGGTTCTGAGAGCATCCAGAAGCCTGGAGAGGGAGAGACGCATCGCGTGTCCATGAACACATCAGTCCATTAAGAAGCATATTCAGGCCCTGACCGGTTTGGCTCAGCGGTTAGAGCGTCGGCCTGCAGTCCAGAGAGACCTGGGTTCGGTTCCCGCTAAGGGCATGTACCTCGCTAAGGGCATGTACCTCGGTTGCAGTTTGTCCCAAGCCCTGGTTGGGTCGTGTGGGTGGCAACCACTTGATATGTCCCTTTCACGTCGATGTTTCTCTCTCTCTCTCTCTCTCTCTCTTCCTCTCCCTCCCTCCCACTCTATCTGAACAAAAAATGGAAAAATTTCCTCGGGTGAGGATGAAAAAGAGGCAGCATATCCAGTGCCCGCTCTGTGCTGCTGCGGGAGCTGGGGACCCGAGGGCAGAGGCGCAGGAGCAGCCCGGGTCCAGGCATGCACGCAGTCACGGTCCCTGGAGGGCGTGCTGTGTGACCACGAGCATCGTGTCTGCCTGGCTCTCCTGGGGCTTCTTCCTTCCGCTCTCTGCCATTGGAGCTGATTTCTCGGTGTATGTGCCAGTGAGTGAGGCAGTAAGAGGTGCCCTGTTCTCCTCGGCCCTGGACAAGACCAGGAATAGATGCTTCCTTGGCAGGTCCATAGGAAAAAGGGGCACTCAGGGCAGTCAGAGGGTCCCAGCGCATGCCGCCATCGGTGCCCATCTCCCGCTCCCTTCCTCCTGTGCACCTGCCGGGGGGGCGCTGCGGAGCCCAGGTAGCAGTGGGCCGCCTTCTGTTGGCAGAGCAGCAGCAACCTGTCTTTTCCTCTCCCCACAGGAAGCTGCACAGTGGAATGAAGACGTACGGGTGTGAGCTCTGCGGAAAGCGGTTCCTGGATAGTTTGCGACTGCGAATGCACTTACTGGCTCACTCAGGTAGGCAAGGCCGCCGCCCCTCTGAGCACGCGCCCTCCCCGCCGCCTCCACTCAGCAGGCCGCTGCTGCCGCTGGGGCCTGGCCCCCGTTCACGGAGCGGAAAGTCCATCCACGGCGCGCTCTGCCTCCCAAAGCCACTGCGGTGTCATTAGCAAAACAGTTGTGGAATTAGGTTCTCACTCTAATGAATCTGACTATTGGGTTCACATTATACAGGAGCCTTTAATTAAATAGATATAGAAAGGTTGGAACACAAAGCTAGTTACACCGTGCCGTGTTTCGCAAGTTAATTTTACCCGGTTTTAGTGGGGTTGACTAGGTGGCCGTGGGTATTTTTGCGCACATTGGGACAGAGTGGGGAGCCCCGACGGCAGCTTCTGGGTGCTCTCCCGGCAGGAAGGACAGGGCAGGTCTGTGGTGCTGCGGCCCCACCCTTCCCTGCCGGGCCGTGTTCCTTCGCCTTTCAGCTTGGGTGCCGTGCTTGGGGAGAGGTGGGGCTGTTTTCTTATTCGGTCTTGCTCTCCCCACATATCAGCTGTCCACGTCTGCTGGTCCTTGCCCCAGATTGCTTCCAGCCTCAGGCCCCCAGGCAGCTCGGCTTTGAAATGAGCCGAGCTCTGGGGCTGGGCAGGTGACGCGTGGATCGCGTCTGTGATAGGCGCTAGCGTGCGACCTTGGGCAGGTCTGCCTTTGCGACCTCAGTTTCCGCATCGGCCAAGTGCAGGCCTTGCTAGCTCTGGTGTTCCCAGGGAGAGGCGGCAGACAGCACGAGGAGCAGCTCCCTCCCTGCACACGGCCCATGCTGAGCGAATGTCACTCACTTCCGCTTCCACCTTCCTCTTTCCCCGTTGGGATGTTGTCACCCTGGGGCGTGTTCCTTTCGCGGGCTGCAGAGCTTCTGGCCTGGCCGCCTGCAGTCTGTCCTCACTCCGTCCACCGCCGTGCAGTCCTGCAGATGCTCCGGTGCTGTCCCGAGCTCCAGCGCCCTGGCCCTGCGCCGCCCTGAGCGCTGGCTCTCTCCCGGGCTAAGGCCCTGTCTCAAGTGCCCTAACCCTCCTCTCTCCCCAGGCCTCCCTCGTCCCCGTGCAGGGACTGGGCCACTCCCAGGTGGCTGTCAACTCGGGCGGCTGTCCCTCTTGGCATGTCTGCTCCCCTGCCTGTCTTTGTGTTCCATCCTCCTTCCATCAGGCCTTCCCACGCCACGCCTGGCTCCACTGAGCGTCCTTGGCCCGTTGGCCGGAGCCCCTGCATCCAGGCGTGCCTGTGGTCAGCATCGGCTTGGCATCGTGTGCTCCTCTGGTCCTGTTTCATCACCTGCACCGGCCATCTTCTCTCTTCCCTTTGGCTTTTCACGCTGCGGAGGGTTCTGGGTGGGGTTTTGTGAGCTGTCTGCCAACCAGGCTGGCCAGCCCCCAACTGAGTGCAGGGGAGGGGTCTTCTGCTCACTTGCTCCCTGCTCCAGGCCCCTGCGTGGTCTCTGACGGCCCGGAGTCGGACCCTTGTGTGCAGGCAATACGCTTGAAGCCTGAGGTCACAGCATCCTCACCGCGCTCTCCCCGGCTCAGTAAGATCCTTTCTCCTTGCTCCTCCCGAGTCCAGAGCTCCAGCCGGCTCTGGTCCTTCTGGGTTTTCTCCGTGTGAGTGATCTTTCCCCCGTCTTCCCAGGCCGTCAGGTCCCTTCTGCAGTGCCACCCTCAGTCCCTGCCCCTCCTGCAGGAAGCAGCCGCCGTCTGTCCGTAGGGCTTTCTCTGAAGCATCCGTGGGCACAGTCTCTCTTCCTTATATCGTGGTTGTTTGTGGACTTGCCTTATCTCTTCTACTTGGGAGCCAGGGTTAGGGACTTGGGCACCTACCTCCTGACTGTGTGGCCTTGGGTAAGAAATGTGAGCTACACGAACCTGTGTGTCTCCATCTGTAAGGTGAGCGGTCACCCCACCCCGGAGAAGCTGTGGCTCCCGTCAGACGCACAGCGCTGTGCCTGACGCACGACAGGTGCCCAGCTTACCTGCCCCTCTAACAGGCTGTGAGCTACTTGGAGACAGGTCTGTCCCCAGCACGTGCAGCCCATGTCCTGGCACGTTAGTGGAGCCTGTAGATGCCCATTGAATGAAGACGTGCAACCTATGGGCAAACTCAGGGAAACTCCAGGCTCCCCCCCAGGGTTCACTGGGGGCAGCCAGGAGCCCACTGGCTCTTATTGGCTGAGTGTGAGTTAGCCACTGTCTCCACTGAGAAGCACGCCTCAGCAGTGTTGGTGTGGCCTGTGGGAGTGGCAGAGAGGGGGGGAGCTTCTTACACACTTGCGGGTGGGCCAGACCCCCACTGCAGACAAGATGACTGACGCTGCAACACCCCCTGACGGAGACTACTTCAAGGTCTCTTGGTCTCATGGTAATGCCCTGGCAGCTCTGGGAGCCAGGCCCTGTCTCCTAGGCTCTCGTTCCGAGCTTGCCTGAAGTCTGACTGTGCAAATGACCTGTGCCTCTGAAATACACTGGCCAGTGCCCTTCTGAAGGAGGGCTTGGTGAGGGGACCATGCGATGGGTCATGAGAGTGCTTGCCTGCTGAGGCTGCTATTTCTACTCTCTGCTGCTGCTTTCTGTTGCCCTGCAGACCTATCAACCCTGGACTGGGATGTCTTGAAAATAAAATAGCAACAAGGGCTTCGTGAGGCCAGATCACTCCCTAAACTCCTTGCCCCCATTAAACACAGAAGGCCCCCGGAGAGACCTGGCGCTCGGGGGAGTGGGTTTGGAAGCTGGGCTGGTGGTGCCAGGTCTACGCTCAGATCCTCGTGGCACGAGCTGGTTTTACATCTCCCGACTCCTCCTCCAGTTGCTGGATAACAGCTCCGTGTGCTGTTTTGGAGGAGATGCATCGCATCTTCTCGCTACTCTGTTTGAAGATTCCTTGCAGGAAGCTGACAGCAAGAACGTCCCCTAAGGGTTTCTGGTGCAGACCGGTGTTGCAGAAGGTCCCCAAGGTTTGGGGCAGCAGCGCAGAGCCTGGAAGGACGGTAGCTGCCCCAGAAGCCCGGGGCCTGGTTTTGAGTAGGGAGCAGACCACGGAGGAGTGGGTCTGGGACTCGGTGGGGTCGGCGCCCCTGGCTCCCTCTCAGTGTTATCGCTGCCCCTCTCCTGGGCACATTCCTGTTGTCTCCTGCTCAGCGGAGCCGAACAGGGCTCACTTCCTCGCTCCCTCCCTCGCTCTGCGTGCTTGCTGCCCCCACCCCTCCTGGCGAGCATGGCCTGTGTTTGTTATTGTAGCCCTGGCACAAGGCCAGGCCTGGCTGGGAGCCAGCCTTGTGGGTACAGTGTGTACAGTGAGTGCTGAGCCAACTTTGTCATCATATGCGATTAATTTTTTTTCTAATCTGGCCGGGGTGGGGTGAAGGAGGAGGCCAGGGAAGAGTTTCTCCCGTGCTCGAGAACAGCCCACACCGAATCCTGCGGGGCTGATATTCATGAAGGAGAAACCACTCTGGCTGGTTGATCCCCCTCAGCGTTTCCCCCGTCTGTCCTCTGCTCCCCGTTTCCTTGTCCACGGAAATCAACCTGAGCGAGCCTGTCAGACTGGACGACTAAATCTGCATTCCTAAATCACTTTTCATTGTGTTGAAACGGACAGTTTGTTCAGTTAGAAGTTTGCCCTGTAGGAGGCCCTTCCCAGACACGGTTCTTTCTTTCTCTTTCGCTTTCTCTTTCTCTGTTTCTTTTCGAGACCCTAAATGGTGGTAGTGAACGTTCAGTTGAATTGAAGTTTTGGTTTCTATTTGTGTTAACTAATCAAGTGTTTATGAGATGTACGTGATGATAACGGTAAGTTGGAATTGACCAGCATTAGCCTAACTGATGACGGCCCTGCGTTCTCAGAGGCAGTTTGGGGGCCCAGGAGGGTTTAGGGTCTGGGTCCCCCAGAAGAGGGACCCTCCAATGCTTCGCAGGGTTGCTCCTTCTGGAGCATGAACCTTGGGTGAAGGACTGTAGCAGTGAGCAGGGGACAGGAGTACCAGCCCGTGGGGTCCTGGGATCACCCTGAAGTCTCCTCCCTCTGCTGCTCTGTCCCTGGAGGAAGCATCAGGATGGACCCTGTCTCCTTGGCGCTCCTTATTCTCACTTAAGAGATGATTCCTAGCTCTGGGGGTGTCCATGCAGAAACACAGCCCCAGGCGGTGACTCAAGTTGGTTCTGCGATCGCTGGTGTATGGTTTCCTATTAGGCAGTGTTCCCCACAGCTTGGCTTCACATACTGGGCGATTATAAATCTGCACACCCAGAACTGCTTGCCCCTGTTTTTGACTTGGCTGTGTGCTACTGAGAGGTCTGCATATTTCTGTGGCCTGCTCGTATTCTGGGAGTGCCATGCCTTTCGGGAGCAGGCAGACAGTGTCTGAGCACTGAGTGCACTCCAGCTCCGTGTGCTGCCCGCTGGAGACTGCCACGTGTCCCTGCCCTCCAGGAGCTCACGTCCCGCCGGAGAGGTGCTTGCCTACAAAGTAGTTGGGGGAAAGGTAGAGTGTGCAGAGCCCTGCGAAAGGGTCCCGGGAGGCACTCAGAGGCGGAGAGTATTCTAGAGGGTGGTAGACACCCCATGGCTGTTGAGAAGCGGGTTCTGAAAGGAACTGGTCGGGGAAGCCCAGGTCACCGCCAGTGATATGCATGTCGCTGGGGCGTGTAGACTGTGAGTTGGGGGAGGGGAGAAGGGAGACGCAGGGCAAGATTGTGGAGGGCCTTGGACAGCAAGTGATCTGCGTTCACCTGCACGCTGGAGAGCCACTGCACGACTGAGCAAGGGATCGACGCTCCGCACCCCTGGCATAGGAAGGACGGCGGGCTTATGGCTGTCGACGGGCAGGAGTTTAGGACTTGGAGACTCCTTGGAGAAATGGCAGGCCTGGCAGTCGGTTCTGGGGCATGGCTGAGTGCAGAGAGGCTGCTGCCTCCGGCACCGGTTGGTCACTCAGCCTCTTTGAGAGCCCAGTCCTGTGCCGGGCCTGTCCC